GCTGGTGCTACTGGTGCTGGAGGTGCTGCTTGGAGTACTGGTGGAGCTGCTCGTGCTGGAGGTACGGGAGCTGCTGGTGCTCTTCGCCACCTTCTCAGTCTTCCGCCAGGTGCTACTGACTTCCCTGTGGCAGGTACTACTCCTCCGTTACTGTTTCCACCGGCAGACCATTCCCAGCCACCGCTGCTACCGCACTACCCACTACCTGCTCCTGCTCCTTACACTGCGGTGACACAGTCCCTGTCTGAGCGTCGAGAGCCTGAGACTCGTGCTTCCACCCCTGAGCGTCGAGAGCCTGAGTCTAGCTTTGACCTTGAGCCCGAGCCTAGAGCCGCTGTCCGTACTCGTGTTCCTCGTGTTCGTCGTCAGCGTCCCCCGGCTGTCCCAGGCACTCACGATATGACACTCCGTCCTTCCTCTGTTCCACAGCGTGTTGTCCTGCCGTCCCCTCCTGCGTCTTCTCTTCCTAACGTTGCTGACCCTCCGTCTGACCTTGCTCGTGCGTCCAGTCCGACTGTTACTCGCTTTCTTGCTACGGTTGTGACGGACCCTACGTTCTCGTCTCCTGCTGCGTCTGCCCTCGTAGCTGAGCTCGTTGACTTTGCTGCTGTGTACCGCCTAGACTACCTTGCGAGTCTTGTCTCTGACCCTGTCCCTGCCTGTCCTCCGTCCGTCGGGGGTGAGACTGCTCTTGGTTGTACTGCCCTTGGCTGTGACGTTCTTGAGGACAGACAGGAGGAGCTGGAGTGCCTTGCGGCTGCTGCACCTCATCTCGCTACCATGCTGCTTGCCCCTGAGGGAGACCCGGATGCACTTGACATCCCCACCCCGCGCTCTTACAGAGAGGCGATCTCGGGTGCGTACTCCTCTCAGTGGCAGACAGCCATGGACGTAGAGATGGCTTCCTAGAAGTCCACAGATACCTACGTTGACGAGGTTCCCCCACCTGGGGCGAACATTGTCAGTGGCATGTGGATTTTCAGGGTGAAGCGGCCGCCGGGTTCTCCGCCTACCTTCAAGGCACGTTACGTCGCTCGAGGCTTCAGTCAGAGTGAGGGGGTCGACTTCTTTCAGACCTTCTCCCCCACCCCGAAGATGACCACTCTTCGGGTGCTGCTACACATTGCAGCTCAGCGTGACTACGAGCTGCACTCCCTCGACTTTTCGACAACTTTCTTGCAGGGTAGCCTTCACGAGGCCATCTGGCTGCGCCGTCCAGAGTGCTTCACTGGGTCGTTTCCTGAGGGTACCCAGTGGAGCCTATGGGGACCAGTATACGGCCTGCGTCAGGCGCCCCGCGAGTGGCACGACACACTGAGGACGACACTTGCGGCTCTTGGGTTTGCTCCTTCGACTGCTGACCCGTCGCTGTTTCTACGCACCGACACTACTCTGCCGGCATTCTACATCCTCGTGTACATCGACGACTTGGTTTTTGCTGCTGCTGACACAGAGGCGCTGGCCCTAGTGAAGGCGGAGCTGCAGGAGAGACACACCTGCACTGACCTGGGTGAGCTGCGCAGCTATCTTGGCTTGCAGATCACCCGGGACAGAGCACGGCGCACCATCACCCTGACTCAGTCACACATGGTGCACTAGGTCCTTCAGCGCTTTGGCTTCCAGTACTCCTCGCCACAGCCCACTCCTCTGTCTACCGGTCACTCGCTCTCAGCTCCACCTTCGGACGAGTCCGTAGAGCCGAGTGTTCCATATTCAGAGCTTGTGGGTTGCCTCATGTACCTGATGACGTGCACACGACCTGACCTCGCGTACCCTTTCAGCCTTCAGGCTCGCTACGTGGCTCCCGGAAGACACCGAAAGGTGCACTGGGATGCTGCGAATAGGGTGCTGCGTTACTTGTGCAGTACATCGGGCATGGGCCTCGTGCTTGGAGGACGGGGTTCAGTGGTATTCACAGGACACTCTGAGGCTTCTTGGGCCGACGACCAGGCGACTCAGCGTTCGTCACAGGGTTACACCTTCAGCCATGGCTCTGGTTCTGTCTCGTGGAGGTCCACTCGTTCTTCTTCTGTGCTTGGTTCCAGTTGTGAGGCCGAGATCTACGCTGGGGCCATGGCTGCACAAGAGCTACTCTGGCTGACCTACCTGCTGACCGACTTGGGGGAGCGGCCTCGTTCTCCTCCACTTCTGTACGTCGACAACAAGGCAATGTTTGCCTTGTGTCGCAAGCAGAGACTGGAGCACAGAACGAAGCACATTGTTCTTCGCTACTTCCTTGCGCGTGAGCTGCAGCAGCCTGGTCAGCTGCGCCTTGCTTACGGGGCCTCTCGGGCCAACACTGCTGATGTCTTCACCAAGGCCCTTGGGTCTGGTGATCATCAGCGCTTCTGCATTGCTCATGGGCTTGTGCCCACTCTGCCTCACCTGCTGGTTGCTTGACTTGCTCTTGTTGTACACTGATATATATATTTATACCTGCTTGTTTACTCTTGCTAGGTTGTTATCAGTGTACTGCCTTTTCTATTATAACTCTGCATGTGAACTGGCCTTGTGGCCGCTTGCTTGTGCTCAGAATGCGTGGTGATCTTGAGATCCACCTTGAGCTTTGCTTTGGTTTGTTCTCTTGCTGGACTGGTCTTGTGACCGTCCATTGTGTTTGCTATCCCCCACTTTGCCTACAGGGGTGTGTCAAACTACATTTGTTATCTCTAGGCTGTAGTGGGGCTTACCCTAAGGGGTACAACACTTTAGGGTTAGGTACTTGTACTCATGCATGCTACCTAGTCCACCATTCCTGCTTGCTTATTCTATCTATAACGGCAATGAATTCGGCTTCAGCGAATGATATAGCCATTATATACTCCTTATGAGAATTTGATGGCATATGTATAATTGGCTCGAAACGAAAGAGAAAACATGAGCGTGATCAACGTCGACGAGGTTGAATGAGCGGGTGGTGAGTGTCAAGTAGTTAAGGTCGGTGCGTGGGGTTGAGATGATGTAAAGCAGGGCTCATTGTAGGTCAAACGCATGCTCCCCTTCAGGTTGCTGAGATTAGAGGGCGAGATGGCTTGACAGGCATCATGATGCTTCAGGCAGAAAATAATGAACATTATAAGAATTCAGGGTCCTAACTTCTAGGGAGCATACCATGAATATTTCAAGGCACAATTCTTCGGTTCACCTATCATACTACCTTGCTATTTTAGGTCATGGATGTAGGGGCGTAATACATGGGAAGACACAAGTTTCCCTGATTGTTGGTTAATTTCATAGAAGTTCCCCTGATGATAGGTATGTTAGTTTTGTGATTATTGTAATTACCTCTCGTCCATGGTACTTCACTATCTCTTTTGTTTATGAGTGCACCTGTTATACAAGGAAGCTGTTCTTTTGCACTTTGTACTAAGTTTAGTCAGGTTAACGATTCGCATGATGTCGCGAAATTTGCTGTCGGGTAGCATCCATCTTGAGTTTCAAATTTTGGAAGGGCGCGGATGTTTTCCAAATGCCGTGGCGCGGCTGAGAAGTTGGCGTGATGTGTCATCATCATCCGTGCGAACCAAGTGTGTCAGAATATGTCAGATATTCGGGCCTCCCATCTTGGTTCGGAGAAGCCTCAGGCCCCCGTGCTTAGAACAGCCACTGGTTGCAGGACGTGGTGTTTACTTTCGAGTGCCATTTTCCGAAGCTGCAGTCTTGGCACGAGGCGCTGTTCGCCAATTGTCTCGCACCCATGGCAGTGGTGATCGGTCCGGGACGTCTTTGAGTGCTGCCCTGGTGTTTGAAATTCTAGTGGACGTGCGCAACGTGCTGTATGGGAGTGGTTTAGTGGCGAACTGGTGGGCGGCCATTTTCACAAGTTGAGAAGGGCCAGTTTCAACTGGTCTGCAATGCGCATGACGTGAGTGGAGGTAAGGGAGGGGCTGTTATGCGAGTATCGTGAGTTATTGCTGGTCGCAAGGAGGCATCTCAAGCTCTGCGGAGCGGGGTGATGTAGGTAGGTGCGTCAAGAAACTCCACCGACCGACCGCCACATCTGTTTCTCGTGACTTAGCAAGGACACCGATCACCACGCAAGCACCCTCGTGCTGAAGCATCACACTTGTTGACGGCGGAATTGTGAAGCGACAAGTCGTGGCGAGGTGAAAGTCAGTTGACAATTCTAGGAAGAGAGGAGAGAGGCGTGTAGATGGGTGGACCACGCCAAGACTGACCCATAGGGATTGCGAGACTTCAAGCTAGTATTGAGCGACCGCCATAGCAATTAGGTTACCCTGGAAGATTGACGTTTCGCCTTGTTTTACCCCACAGCGTCCTTTTCGTTTTCTTTCCCGCGACCTAGCACACGAGACAATAGTAGCTTAGGCCAGCGGCGCGCTTGATAAGGCAGCACACACGGCCGTAGTCGAGCCACCAGCAGCAGCCCAGCAGGCATGCAAGGAGTCGCACTTTCCGCAAGCACAGCACGCGCTCGCCTCCCTAGAACTAACCCGACCCGACCCGCTTGTCACGTCCCGCGGTGCGTCGCCAGGTTAGATAATCCCTGACACGCTTGACCACTCGCGCCAACACCGCACCGCATGAAGCGCCGCGTCTTCCGCTCCCACGCGCCACCCACTCGTCAAGACCGAACCGCTGGCAGATAGTAGTAATCAGTAAATATGACATTGTCGAGAACACTCCAGGAGCGAATCCGGTCCATGGATTCGCTCGCGTCGCCTAGCGAGATGGCGGCAGCTCTGCGCGCGGCCCGTCGGGGGGCCGCCGCAGGGGCGGCCCCCAGCGGCGGCAGCGATGCGGGGAAACCCGTTAGCAACAGCAACAGCAACGGCAACGGCAACGGAAACATGAACAGCAACAGCACGAACAGCGTCTACATCGCCAGTACCACCAGCAGCAGCGGCAGCAACCGACCCAGCAGCAACGGCTTCGAGGCGCCGCAGAGCAGAATCGAGTCAAGGCACGCTGCCCCGCCGCGCGCCTTGCCTTCGCGCAGCTTCCGGTCGCGTGGTGATGCGCCAAGCGTCCGACACGCCATGCGACCTGCCGCGGGGGGTGATCATGGGTACGGAAGAGGAGGACGAGAAAGAGGAAAAGGGGAAGGCGGGGATCGAGGAGGAGGGAGCGAAGGAGGAGAAGAAGGAATAGGAGGAGGAGGACGAGGAGGCGGAGGAGGGAGAGAAGCTAGAGACACAAACTCTAGGGATTGTGGTGGGAGGTTTCAAGGGGAAGAAATGGGGGAGACGTATAGAACCGAGGCCGGAGAGAGCGGGCGCAGTGCCGCGTATCGCAGCAGCAGAGCGCGCCGCGGGAGCGGAGGCGGCGGGAGCGGCGGAGGGAGCGGAGGCGGCGGGAACGGCGGGAACGGCGGGAGCGGAGCGGGGCCATGCGAGCGGCAGATGAGTATGTCTAGCGGGAGCTCCGAGGTGGAGTCGGTGGGGGTCATGTCGGAACCCGCGCTTCCGCCCATCCGCGACCTGTCCCCTCTCTCGGCTCGGCGCGCTCTGTCCACGTGTTCGTCCTCCGCCTTCCGCACGTACATCACGGCGCGCTTCCAGGACGCGCAGTCTCTGGGGCTCAACAGAGCGCCGCCGCCCGCGGAGCACTTGCTGCCCTCCGCCGCGAGCGACGCCAGCGGAAGCGGAGGCGGAGGTGGAGGCGCAGGCGGAACGGCTCAGCTGCTTCCCCGCCTCGTGATGTCCCGCGCGAGCGCGCAAGAGGGGTCGCGGGAGGATGGCGCGCGGAGGCTTTCGCTGGACGTGTACGCGACTAGGAGACAGGCCGCAGAAGGCGCCGGTGACAGCGCCAATCGCGGCGGCGGAGGCGACGGGGAGGTAGGCGCGATGGGCCTACGAGGCGACGAGCTGTCCGCAAAGGCTGGTCGCTTCACGGGGCACATGGCGGCGATTCGCCGCCTGCAGGGCGTGCGGCGGGCAGACCTGGTGGCGGCGCTGCTGTCGGATAGCAACTGGCCGGCAGGGCTCGCCATGGACGACCGAGTGAAGCTGGATCAATTCGCTGCTCTCTTCCCCTCCCACTCCTACCGCAACTCCCGCTCCTCCCACCCCTCCTCCTCCTCCTCCGCCTCCGCGTCTCTCTCCGCGTCGCTCGTCGCCGGCGTGCCCGTCTTCGCCGTCACCCCCGCCGCGCAATGCGGCGGGAACGGCAGATGGGACAAGTTTTCCAACGAGTCGTGTCTGCTGAGCTACTACTTGTTCCTGCAGATGCTCTTCCTCGACGTCTTCTGGGCGTCGCTCGCCGCCATCGCCGCCGCCGCCGCCGCCGGGAACGACGCCGCCTTGGGCGACGCCTGGGACGGCGACACGGCTCGCGAACGGCCCGGCACTCCGCGCGACGACGGCTGGCGCAGCCTCACGGCTGCGCCAGGGACACCGAGAGCCCCCGCCACGCCGCGCTCTCCGCTCTTCCCGCCGGCGAGCCCGCGCTCCTCGCACGACCCGTTCCCGGCGTCGCCCAAGCTCTCGCCTTCCGCCGCCGCTTCCGCCGCCGGCCTCGCTCCCAGCGGCCCGGCGCTGCAGCGCTCCGCGGTGCTTGTCCCCCGCAGCAGCTGCCTGGGCAGCCTGGCGAACGCGGCGCCGGGGGAGGGCGAGCGCAACCGGCGGCAGCAGCTGGCGCGGCGCTGGGTGGCCATGTGTCCGCCAGGGAGCGACGCGGTGGAGGAGGTGGTGGAGATCGTGTCGCGCGTCATCACGCGTCTGCGCGCCGATATCATCCTGGAGGCTGCTGCGGCCGCCGCCAACGGCGACGCCGGCGGCGGCGGCGACGCGGGCTGGCGCGGAGGCAACGGGAGCAGCGCGGATGCGCGGGAGACGGAGGCGGTGCGGCAGATTCATAAGCTGGGATGCGAAGACGTGGATCGACTGCTGTGGGGGCTTGAACTCGGTCGCTCGAGCCGCGACGGCCAACGCAAAAGCCATGAAGTGCCCAAAGAGGCTTCCAAGGTCGCTGAACGTATAGTGAGCGTGCTTATAGAGGGAGCGAATGGCGGAAGGGGTGTGCAGGCGGGCGCGCGGGGGGCGGAGGTAGCAGGCGCTTCCGCCTCCGGTTCCGCCTCCGCCGCTGGTGGCGGCGGGAAGGCAGGGTGCATTGCGCGGAACCCGTCGCAAGGGGATCTCAAGTCGTCGTCGTTCCTAGCGCTCGCCATCGGCGCGGCGGCGGGGGGAGCGGCGGATGCGAAAGACGCGGGGACTCCGCGGGAAAGCGGGAGGTGGCAGCGCGGTCAGGATGCGGAGCGGAAGCGGGATCGTCGAGATGATCCGTACGGCCGTATGAACGGGCGGTCCGAAGAAGCAGGAGCTGGTAACCAGTCCCGGAACAGTGGCAGTGCAGCCGGTACGGCTGGGATGCAGCGAGGCGGACAGGCTGATGCGTACAGGCGAGGTGAGCAGTACGATCGGCGGGATCGAGAAGAGCGGTCGGGGAGGTACGACAGGGGGGACGGCAGGGGGAAGGGAATGGAGCGCGGCACGTGGGGTGCGGAGGGGGGCCGGAGCGGCAGACTCGGGGAGTCGAGGGGGGACAGGGACGCGGAGGCGCGAAGGTCGGGGGGTGGGCGGGACGATGCGCCAGAGCGGGGGGGCGGAAATGACGATGGTTACCGTTTGGGCGGCGGAATGGGAGGGGCGGAAGGGATGGGAGAGAGTGCGGAGCGCGGGAGCAGCGGTCGTTTGAGAGAGGAGAAGCGGGAGACGGAGCGAGAGGCGCGGCAAGAGGCGGAGCGGGGGGAGCTGCAGCGGCGGCAGCAGCAGTGGCGGAAAGGCGACGACCCCGCGGCGCTCAGCGCGGATCCATCCAGGCGCTTCGAGAAGACGCTGTTCGGAGGAGGGGGGGAAGGCGGAGCAGGAGGCGGGGAAGGTGGAGCGGGAGGAGCGGGGGTGTCGCGCCTGCGCTCCCTTTCCCCACTGCGCTCCACCTCTCCCCATCGTCCCGTTTCTCCCGTGTCCCCGTTTCGCGCCGCGTATACGGCTGCGCCTATGTCTCCCTATCGAGCGCCAGAGGCGGCGCTTCCTCCTGCGCCGATTACGCCGCGCTCGCCCGTGGTTGGCGGAGACTCGACCGCGCGGACTGCGGACGGCGGAAGGTCGGGGAGAGAGCAGCGATGGCAGGAAATGGCGCAGAAGGAGATGAATCAAATCTCGCCGGGAAGGTTCCCGCCAGTATCCCCCCGCGCCGTACCCCCGGGCTCGCCTTACCAGCAACCCTCTGCTGCCTTGCAATCGCCGCGCGCTGCGCCCATGTCCCCTCACGCCAACCGCTTCTCCTCCCCGCATGAACCCGCCTCCCCACGCGCGCCAGTGTCCCCGCTTGCGCCCAACTCCCCTAACATGGTGACTTCCCCGCTTGCCTCCGCCCCCCCGTCCCCGTACGCGCCAATGTCCCCCTACGCTGGCGCTGCGCGCGGAGGAGTTTCCCCCGCTTCACCCGCCACTACACTTGCGCCCAACCTAACTCCGCTCAAGCTACCGCCAGGAAGGTCGCTGACGCAGCAGCAGCAGCAGCAGCCGAATAGCCCATTAGCAGCAGAGGCCAAGCCTAGCCCTTGGGAAGCCTGGAAACCGCCTGCAATGACCATGCCTGAACCGCGCACGCCTACTGCTGCTTCTGCTTCTGCTGGCGGTGCTGGTGCTGCGCCGTTTAGCCCTGTTCCGCGCTACAATCAACCTGCCGCCTCTCCCAGGTACCCAAGTGCCAGTGCCCCTCGTGATGCAGGTGTAGGTGGTGGCGGGTACAGGAGCCCGGCCAATGCGCCGGCTCCTGCCCTGTCCCCATACCAGCGCAGCGTGTCACCGGTTCCAGGGGCAGCAGCAGCAGCAGCAGCAGGAGGAGGAGGAGGAGGAGCCGTGCCGATGTCACCTCGGCCCAGCGACAGCAACAAGAGCAGCTCTCTCTACCGGAGCTCGCCCACCCGGCACGAGAGGTTCAAGATGCTTTACCAGAAACAGAAGCAGCAAAGGCCTGGAGGAGGAGAGAAGGCCGCTGCCAGACCATCTCCCAGGTACACTCCGTCCCAGGTTCCTCAACCGCCCCAGCAGCAGATGCTTGCTCGGCAGGACGCCATTCCTCGCTGTGTCACACCTCCTCGAGAAACCCCAGCCAAGGTGAACAGCTTCCAGCCGTCTCCACTGCTCCTGCCTACTGCACCGGCCGCTCGCTGCCCATCCCCGCAGTATGCATCTCCTGCCGCCCTTTCTGCTGCACTCAAGTCGCCCCAGTCCAGGAGATTCCAGGTGTCCTCTGTTGAGGCTCCTGCATCGCCACTCCGCCCAGCAGCTCCGAACCTGCCAGAATTTGAACCGCTGGATGCACTGGGTTCCCCCCGGGACATGCTCCTCCCGCCGCCTGTATCACCATTTCAGAAGGGACGCCACGCAGACGTCCGTGACGTTTCTCCTCCTCCTCGAGGTTCCTTGCTGCCCTCGACTCCTCGCAAGCACGTTGAGGAATACGGTAACGGAGGAGGAGCGGGCGAAGCGAAGCAGTTGAATGCATACTCTGCACGCAGAGCTCCTGCCTCTCCTCTGCAAGGTGCTTCTGGGTGGAACAACACTGACCCCCAATCAGGCAAAGAATCTCTCTGGGATGCAGCCGATAAGGGTGGGGAAGGCAGCCGGACTGCATCGAGAGTGGAAGCTGACACACACGCGGGAAGACTGTCGCCACTGAGGAGCTCCCGAAGCTGGCGACAGCTCGTTCCATCCCTTGGGAAGATTCGAGGGGCTTCACCACGGCGATTGGCTGATCCTGATGAGATCCCGCCTGTTGAGCCAGATGTGAAATTCCAGCAGGTGCAGCAGTGGCTGTGGAGCCAGCCGGATAACCCTGGTGAGGACGAGGAGGAGGACCACTGGAAAGCACAGGAAAGGACAGCTGAGACATCCGAGGCTTCTCAAACCTCACCTGGAGAACAGCCCGAAGTAACCAGCACAGGTGCAGGGGGTGGTCACAGAGGCATGCTTGATGTGGACGGACGGCGCAGGAGGGGATTGGAGATCTCCCGTCCTCTGTATGATGTTGATGAGAGGGAGAATGAACTTCTTCGTGGATCACTGAGGGTATCAGCTATAAGCACCAGCAAGGTGATGCAGGACAGGGCTAATATTGGGATTTTCAGTCCTGATGTGAGCCCACGAGCTGGAGCAGGGACTGGGTGGAAGAAGGTGATGGGGCTAGGCACTTCAAACAGGAGCCCGGATCGTGCCAGAAAGTCAGGATCTGGTAGGCTTGTAACAGTGCAGGACCCTGACAGGGTTGAGAATAAGGCCGAGCAGTTCAGACTCTTTCGTTCAGGGTCTCCTCTAAGGGCTGTCCTTAGACGTGGTGCGCCTTGACCATATGCTGTTATTATATTATATAGTTACAATGGCATGTGCATGCATAATCTGAAATCTAAGGTTCCCAATTTCATATCAAGCTCCTAACATCCTCCAGAATACAACAAGCCTGCAATGTTACTCAAGGTCCCTGACTTCAGTTTGCAGTGGAGCCCAAGTAGACCTGTGACATCCCTTTCTGGTGCGTTGGATGAATGCAGACGGTCAATGGAGTCCTGAATACACGTAATAATCTTGTCTGTGTAAACACAAAAGAGCAGGAGAGGTGATTTTTCTCTTTGAATCTGTTGCTGGAGGTGATGGAACGATGCAATCCACTCAAGGAGCATATCTGAATGGGAGGGAAAATAAAGAGGGTGAGAATGTGTTCCGAGGTGCAGAAATGGCAGAGGACAACATGAGAAAGACGTGAGAGGGAGAGGAGCATGTCAGCACACAAGCATGTGTGTATTCGTGAGTGTGTGTGAATGAGCATGCGTATGTGCGCTTGTGCATGTGAGGATGAGATAGAGGGGGAGACGAAAGGAGCGCATGTAAAAGGTGAAAACTTTGGGACGGAGACCATGAACAAGTGTGGGAGGGAGATGTGTAGAAGGTAGTGTCGGGGGTAGTGGCGTGGGAGGACAAGGCAAAAGCTTACCGTTATCAAGCTGACTAGCAGAGGTCCAGCTGGACATATTGCTTGATACAATATTGAAGACAAGTGACAGCCTGTGAAACACAATAAACTCTCATTGTACTGCTCATTTTTGAGAGGTTATGTATGCACACTGCGAAACTCACAGTGTCCCACATCTTTCAACTGCAATAGCCTTCGCTGTGTTCCAAGTGCCAGAGTGCACCAAACCGAACTCTTTCTGTATTTCATCAGTTAACATGGGTAGCAGCAGGTGTCCGATGAAAGGCTCTTCAGCAAGTTCAAGAATGACGCCTTCAATCTCTTCACAACATGACCAGTTGGTCGTCTCTGAAATGCCATTTTGGTGTGCAATAAGCAGTTGCACTTCACTGCGAACTAGAATCGTACAAACAGAGACATTCACCAACCTTTTGATGGTTCCAGCAACATGCCCAGCACAGAAGCAAGGAACTCAGTGACAGGCCCACAAAGTTCACTGGCCTTGCCTTCGTGTCGAAGAACTCCTGTACGGACCATCATCATCAGAACCACACGGATGCAAAATCCTGGTAATAACTAGAGAATAACAAAATCCTCACCTCTTACGAACGTAATGGCTTCAGTTATGTATGTTCGTTTTTGGCTGTCCATCTTGCAGATGAAAAGCATCAGCGTTAGCCCAGGTATTAGTTTCTTTGCCCCTAGCAAAGCTCCTCAATGTGGTATGCTAGATTGGCGTACCTGAACTGGAGAATCGGCAATTAGGTCTGCAGCAAATCTCAGAACGTGCGTAATCCATCCACGGTCATCAGTCACACTGGGCCAGATGGAAGTTGCTCCTGCAGCCTCAACAAGTTACTTCTGTGATAGCAACAGCAGACTGGCACCAGACAAGAGCACCCTTCTAGAATTCTCACCTTTGCCCGGATCCTTCAGTCCCCTTATGTTTGACACGAGTTGAACTGCATAACAAGACTCTTCAGCGAATTCACGGAAAATTTGTCGTTGGATAGAATATGATTACGTAATATGGCCTCACCGTGCTTTAAAAGGACCACTCTTGGATGGTCGGTGATTATCAGTTCCCCTTGTTCTTTCGCGTGCTCAGTCACATCCAGAAATTCCCTTTGCCTTTTTGTCACCGAGTTCTGGAGCTCTGGCGATAGCTTTTGCAGGATAGAGGGGCCTGCGTCCGTGCACACCTTCAGGACGAGTTTGAAAAAATGTAAGGCACTTGTCGGACATTATACTTACAGTCACCGAGATCACCGAGAACCTGGTTGTACTGCTGCAGCGTGCACTCAAGCTCTTCAATCTGCGATACGCGATGTTAGCGAGTGCCTTTTGCCATGCTTATGTTTCCTTGGACTGAAAACTAACCTTGCGCTTCAGATTTCCCACTTGAAATGAGTTCGTCTCTGATTGCCTAGCCTTGACGACGGCGAGGGCCAAGGCAAGCCTAATGTCATTGTTCACTGATGCCATTGTGCTGGGCGACACAGCATACGTTGCAGAATCTGAGAGATGTGCTCAACAATGACAGTCTGCTCAACAACTCCAGGAAGATCAACCCTGGGGATGACCTTGGAGTTTGCTGTGAGCTCAATATTTGTTCGACCTCTGACGAACAGTTGGGTTCTCTCAAATTATAATCTCTAAACGAGTACAGTTCTTCACCTTGTTGGGGAGTTCGACATATTTGTCGTCTACAGTGATTCTTCTTATAACTGGCGCTACAGTTCCAAAACTCACTTTCCTCCTCTAGACCCACTTGCTCACCTCACCACAAGCACACTTCACCTCACCTCCATTCCACGCCACCGCCACCATTGCCGCCGCATATCTCGCCGCAGCCCCGTGATCTCTTACCCTCGACACCCTTAGCCTTCCGAACACATCCACCCGCCATTTCGAACTCAATCGACAGGTTATAATGGTGCTCGCCCACCTTCGCGCGGCCGCCGGTGCGATTCGTCAGAACGGACTTATTGGAGCGCTGAAGCAAGCTTATCATGAAGGATATGCGTACGCCGGCCATTTTCGTGCCTTTTTATTTCTCCTACAGCTTGTCCGATTTTCCGGTCTTTCCCCTGTTGAGGCTGACGTCATTGAACCATCCCACCCGTTCCACGTGTCTTGTCGGTGTTGCCGTTACACGTTAAGTCGATCCATGGCATCGCTTCGGGCTTCAGAACACCTTCTATTTTCCTTTACTACCCTCTGTTCGCATTTTCCCTTTCCCGTCCATGTGTCGCTGGAACAATACCGTGGTCTGGCGTCTGCGTGGGACCACCCTATCAGCATGGCTCTCCTAGACGGCAATCTCTTGTCAGTCATATCCTTCTCTCCCCTCGTCTTGCTGACCTCCTCCTCTATGAGCCCTCACTCTCCTTCCTGATCCGTCTCTACTCGCGGTCTTGTTTGTCATATCGTTTGTGTAGGGAGCGAGAGCCATTTTGAGTGTCTGATTGGAAGGATAGAGCTCAAGGGCAGAAAAGTAGCACATTTCGAGGTTACCACGGTCTCCCTTTTTGGTTCACTTGCTCCACAGGCAGTTAAGCAGTTATGGCTCCGCACTTCGGTTCACTTTTGAATGCATTCGCCTTGTTGGGTGGATGGGTTCTTTGTGAATGCGCTGGGGATGCATGAGGGAGTGAGTGCTGGCGGGTACGTGTTTCATGCATGGATTGTGACTCAATCGCCCATCAGTGAAACGAAGCGCCGGGCGTTGGGATCGCGCCTTGTGGGCTTGGACTCGCATGGCAACAAGTACTACGAGCGCATGGATGCACAAAATGGTAAGCAGTCATGGTCATTCGGGAAATCAAGCCTGACCATTCACATGTGCATACTTGTACTGTGCAGACAAGCTGCCATCGGCCCTGCAAAATCTGTGTGATAGCTTCACTGTCAAACCCCTTCATGTGCCGGAGCTTTCCTGTCCATGTATCTATTCGTCTATGTATGTATATATGTATCTAAGGATCCATGTGATTTAGAAAATCAATGTATCCATGTATATATCGTAAGTATGCATCTTTCTGTCTCTATATCTGTCTGTCTGTTTGTCCGTCCATTCAACCGTCTGCCTGTCTGCCTATCAATATATCTCTTTGTCTATATACGTACCGGTAACTGTGCTATTTTATTTTGTGACGACTGTTCTGCTTGTCCCTATGAACATGCATGCGCTGCCTGCTCTTACGTACAACGTTTCTGCGTATGGCAGGTCGGCATCGATGGGTGGAATACAAGGAGTCATGGGGTTACAACGCATCCACTGTGCCTCCTGAGTGGCATGGCTGGCTGCACCACATCACAGATGACCTACCTGATAAGGTAAATAAATTTCTCATGCTTGGCTTCGTTCCTCTATGCGAGTTGGCTCTACGGATCTCTCCCACAATCTGTTTGTGCACGTAGCTTCCTTTGACTGCATCCATCTGGTGTTTTCATTTATTGTCTCTCTGCAGATACTTGCTTTCAAGCCCCGCTATGGTTTGGAGCACCGAGCCAACTTCACAGGGAAGGGAGATGCATTCATTTACCATGCGAAGGGCCATGCCTTGAACCCTAACCAGCGTGATTGGTCACGTGTCCAGTCCTGGCTTCCCGGCTCTCCTGACGAGCCCACCATTCCTGCTGCACCATCAGCCCCTTCATCCGCTAAGGCGTCAGATGCACCTTCCAAGTCAGGGTAGAAAGACTGCTCTGCAGGGCAGCAGGGAGGCTTTTGTGGGAGTATCTGATGTTTTCAAGGAGAGTAGCGAGAAAGTGTTTCTAAATTCCAATATGTGTAGAGCAGAGATATGTGCCACATAGTTGACTTATCTCGTGTGATGTGGAAGCAGCAACAACCTACAGTAGTCAAATTTAGTGAGCCTAAGGAAGGATGCAAGATCTGGATCAACCATTTGCAGCCAACAAAATGAGCCCATCCATCCATCTCCTGGATAGAAGATGGACCATTCAGCTTGCTTAGAACTGGCATACCTGGAGTTGTGGTACGGAGTACGCGATGTAACTTCCTCTTGATCGAACTTGGCGAACAAGCCAGAATTCGCCGATACAGCATTTTCTGAGCGTCTATTGGCGAATACTAGCTAGTTCGGCAAATACAGTAGGTGCGCACCCGATACAGCATGTATGTGCGCGCTCCGCTGAGTCCCTGTGTTTCATCGAAGTGAAACTTAATGTGGCGAACAGTTAGCCCTGACGTTTTCAGGGATCTCGAAAATTGCCTTCCTAAGCTTTTGGTGTCAGGTGGTGGAGCTATAAAAGAGAGGTGTGTATAATTCACGCCCTAACGTAGGAACATTCAGAAAGGAGCATATGCCCCTTCTGATCTTGATAGGAAACCCAACCTCGTCTTCAGTAGCGGTTGCGAAATTTCAGAAAGAAGTGGGCGACTACCCCAAAAACCAAATAGCGCAGTTAGCACCTACAACAAGGCACCAGCATACACCTGTGTTGTGCTGTGACAACACAAACCGAAATGGGGCACCATTTTAGGTTCGGCTCTCCTTTGCCATTTCACTCCGAACCATCCAACTCTTGGAAATCTGCAAGCCATTCGTCGTCAGTCATCCCTCCTCAGTTGACAAAAACCACGCGTTTTTGAAACAAGTCGTTCAGTAGTCGTTTGCCCAAAGAAAACGTGATCCTAGTCGTTTGCCCGCAGGAATCATGCTCCTAGTCGTTTGCCAACCGAAAACATGGTCCGTTTCTCCCCTTCCTCGCCTGCGTAGTGTCTCCCAGAGAACGAAGCAGTAGCGAGCGCAATTAGCGGCAAACCTCATGGCGGAGGCGGTCGCAGTGGTGCGCGCGAAGAGGGCCGCAGAGGCGCATGGCGAGGTGGCGGAGTCGCAGTTTCCGCGGTCGATGAGTTTGCTGGAGGAGAAATTCGACGCGTACGAGCAAGCCAACCTCATGATATTTCGATCCAAGTCCGATGGCACACTTAGGTAAGGCCTAAGGCCTAATGCCCACGCTGTTCGTCTGCCGTCTTCATTTGCAGATGATTTTTACGAAGGAGTTTATATGGAGGGTGCCGCTCTTTATATCCTTGCCGGCCAATCAACGTTTGCTATTCAGAAGTACTTGTTAGTACTTCTGGCAGCGCACTGTTTTGGAATTCCCTGAGCGTACCTACTTTCTTGTTCTCTTCTCACGACGCCACGACATATCACTCATCGACCAGCAGCACACACGACTCGAGTCCCCTCGACGTTCCCGAAGGCAGCATCGCTCCGGAGAATGCGGAGCTCCTGACACGTGGCGCGCGCACGTCGCTGAGACTGCCCGACTCCGCTACCGGGAGGGAGGACCCTGCGGACGACGATGCGGAGGCGGAGCGGACATGGGGAGGGGGAGCCGGCGGAGGGGATGGTGGAGAGGGGAACGCTTCGCGCCGTGAGGGTTCAGGGAACGAGCAGGCAGGGCCCAGCAGCAGTGGGAGTAGCACGGAAGACGAGAGGGGATTAGGTGCCGTTTCCCGCGCATGCCTGCCCAAAAGCGCGCGGGGGAGCTGCTTGCGGCTGGGGCGGAGGGAGCAGCAGCGCGGCGAAGGGGAGCACACCGGCGGGACGGGGAAGGGCAGCAGCAGGGATACACAGCGCAGTGGTGCAGGGGACAGCGGCAGGAATGGGCACGCGGAGGGCGGGGGGGATGCACTTGCGGATGTGCACGCGGGGGGGGCTGCGGGGAGGAGCGTGGGGAGAGGGGGAGCGGAGGAGGGCGTCGGCGCTCCGCTGATACGCAGTTTGACGGAGGACTTTGGGCGGCGTGGGGTGGTGGGGGGGTGCCCGCGCATGGAGAGTGGCGTGCTGCATGATGCGGAGATGGATGAGATGGACGGGGAGGTGCTGCAAGGTAAGACTAGGTTCAGAGCGGTGCTATGAGGAATGTAGTGGTTTAGCGAGAGTGAGCTCGTCTTTTCAGCTTAGGTCTCGTGCTTCTCTTCTCCCTCCTTATCTTCACTTCCCATCCCCTCGCTTCTCCCCTTCTCCTCTCCCGTCTCCTCACCCCTCTCCCGTCCCCTCTCCTCGCCCCTCGCCTCCCACCATCCGTGCGTGTGTGCCCTCGAAGCACCCCATACAGACCACCACAGCCTGCAACCCTTCAAGCAGTGTAACCTCTCCACACACCACCACCCTCGCCCCTTCCTCAACTCTCCACTCAGCTTCCTACTCCCCCTCTCCCCTCTCACCCCCTCCCCTCCCCCTCTCCTAATCCCCCCGTCCCCCTTTCCCCCCCACTCCCCCTCGCGCCCCAGAGGCGTTCCAGCGAGTGCTGGCGCTCCAGCAGCGTGTGCTGAAGCACTACCGGGACCTGGGGAACTTCGTGCTGCTCATGCCCGCGTGATCCTCTCCTCTCGTCATCCTCCCGCCCTCCCCCTTGTGCGTGGCAGAGGCGTTCACACGCGTGCTGGCGCTGCAGAAGCGAGTGCTGCACTACCGCGACCTGGGGGGCTTCGTGCTGCTCATGGTGCTCTTCATCACCATCCTCTACATGCAGGCTGATTCCTCCCGCAGCTACGACATCACTGCTGCCCACTCTGTGCTCTACCCACCTGTGAGCCTGCTGCCCGCCTGCCCTGTGTGCTCTGCTGGCTTGTAAGGTCCCCCAATTTCCTGTCCCCCCACTCCCACCCTCCCCTACCCCCCACTCCCCCCCTACCCCCCTACCCCACTCTCCTCTTCACCCCCCTTCCCCACTCTCCCCCTCCCCCCTCTACCCTCTCTCCTACCCCCCTACCCCACTCCTTCCTCCCTTCCAATCCCACTCTCTCCCTCCCTCCCCGCCCCCTTACCCACTCTCCCCTTTTCCCCGTACCTCACTCTCCCCCTCCCTCCGAACCCCGCCGCCTGCCTTATCTCCTCCCCCACTCCCACTCCCGTGCTCACTCTATCCCACACTGCGTACTGGCCTCACTTCGCTCTATCCAAGTCCTCCGCAATTCCTCACCAAAACGAAAATGGGATAAAACGCTGCAAAAGGAAAGTTTTTTGTTTTCTGAAAATGTTCCCTCATCCCACTGCGCCCCCTCGCACGCCTCTGTGTGCCCGCTGTTAAGACTTCTGAGGAGCAACCCAGCATATGCACATTGCATAGTGCACCAGCCAGCGTATGTGCATTGCACATTGCACAGTGGAGGGTGCACAGTGCACACACACGCACGGCACGGCCACCTTCTCGCTGCCATTGCCCGCCGCATCATCCTGCACCCTCGGTCCTTTCCCCCTCCCTCCTCTCTCTTCTCTTACCTGCACTCCTGCACGATCGCCCTCTTTCCACTCTCTCTCTCTCACTCCATGTGCCGTGCCGTCCCTCCCTCGTGTGTGGTGGTGCAGGGCATGAGCCAGGACGCCACCAACACCTTTGCTGGCACAGATGATTTCTACCAGTGGCTCAACAACAGCATCATTCAAGTACGCCCGGCCCACTCACACACCCACGCGCCCATGCACCCACACCCATGCGCCCACGCGCCCATGCACCCACACCCATGCGCCCATACGCCCATGCACCCACACCCATGCGCCCATACGCCCATGCACCCACACCCATGCGCCCATACGCCCATGCACCCACACCCATGCGCCCATACGCCCACACGTCCATGCGCCCATGCTGCACCCTCCTGCGCTGCGAAATGCACTGCGGGCTACAGCTGTTCCCGCACTGGATGGCCAACGCCTCACCTGCACCGCTACTCTATCTCCACTGCACCAACGCTTTCCCTACCCCCCCCCACCCAACCTCCCCTCCCCACGCTCTTCCCACTCCTCCCCCTCCCTCTGCAACCCAGGTCCCCACCCGCACCCATCCTCACCGCCTCCAACCCCTTCCTCTCCCCATCACCATCCCCACCTCTCACCCTCCCTGCCGTCCCCCACGCACCTCAGACTCTCTGGGCAGACTTCACGTGTGGTGACGGCACGTGCAACCGGCCCTTCCAGTACCCCGCGTTCGGCCGCTTTGGTTGCCAGGCGGACTGCGGCACGTTCCCCAACCTCACGTCCGTTGTCGTCCACCTCTCCTCACAGCTGCACACGCAGCAGGCTGCGGAGCAGTCCTCGTGGAACCTCTGCATGGTCAACCCCGTCTCGCTCTGCTGGTACGCCTGCTGCTGCTGCTGCTGCTGCTGCTGCACGCTGCACGCTGCACGCTGCCCCCCCCGGCACGCGACGCCTGGCCACCGTTGGTTCGTCGAGCACAGTGGAGCTGGCTTCATGGGGCTACTGTGCGCATGGCAAGGATGGTGCTGAGACGGATGGCAGTGCTGCGGTGGCTGCTGGTGGTCAGGCGGGGGAGGGTGGCTCTGCGGGTGCTGTTACTGGGAATGACATCTGTCGCGATGTGAGTGGGCCGCTGGTTGCTTACTCTGTTAACGGGTGTTGAATGTCTTGGAACTTTGGAAACCAGCATGTTGTGCGTCAGAAACAAGGAATCTTTTGTTCTCATTCAAGCAGGCCTGTGTGATGATGCAACTGGTGCTTGTCAATTACTTACTAATGTTGCTATCCCATGCAAGCCGATACATGTTGCTATCCCATGCAAGCTGATACATGTTGCTATCCCATGCAAGCCGATACATGTTGCTATCCCATGCAAGCCGATACATGTTGCTATCCCATGCAAGCCGATACATGTTACTGTTGGAGCAGCACAGGGTCCTCTCTCCACTCATCCAACTCACACATGCCTTGCTGCCTCCATCCATACACAACCAACGCCACTCCTGCACCACACCACCCCACCGGATGCATGCATGCGTGCATGCGTGCGTGTGTGCATAAATGTATGTATGCATGTGTGCATGAGTGCATGTGTGCATGAATGAATGCATGAATGCATGAGTGCACGTGTGCATAAATGCATGAATGCATGAGTGCATGTGTGCATGTGTGCATGTAGGCATGTGTACATGTGTGCATGTGTGGATGTATGCATGTGTGCATGTGTGCATGTGTCCATGTGTGCATGTATCCACGTGTGCATGCATGTGCATCTGTGCAACTGTGTGCATGCAGACGTGTGTGAGGCTCGCCACATGTCTGCCAGAAGCGTGCGGTCGCACGTTCACAGAGCGGGAGGTGGCAGGCGCGTTTGTGGACTGTGCGCGCATGTGCATCGTCGCACCCGCCGCCATCGCTCCCTATGAATCCACCTCCTGCCCCATAGTACGCGTCAATCGTCCTGTCCGTTGAGTCGACTCAAAAGCCCCTCCTGCCCCATCCCGTTGTAGGTCATCTCTGCTCTCTTGCCTTCCCCCAGCAGCTTCTTTCCATGGGTTTGAGTCTGAGGCTTCTCAGAATCTCAGACGTTTTCTGAGACGTCTTGAAACCCACAGCTTGAGACGTCTCAGGACTCAACCGTCTTTCTTCCAGCAGCTTCAACCTGCGAACCCGAGCAATGCTGCCCCACCTCACCCGTGGCTAGCGTTCCACATGTGCCCGTTTTAGGGTTGTGTTGTGTTCTTTACGCTCACGTTTGTGCTCTGGGTGCAGACCTCGCTTTCCCTCCCCCGCCACCTCCCTTCAGTCCAGTACCATGGGTGCTTGTCTCTCGAGCATTGTCTTGCGACACTTGTCAATTGCCCTGTTGACTGCTGCCTCCTCCTGCCCATGTCTCTGCTCTTCCCACGTATCTATGCACGTATCTATGCACGTATCTATGCACGTATCTATGCACGTATCTATGCACGTAACTATGCACGTATCTATGCACGTATCTATGCACGTATCTATGCACGTATCTATGCACGTATCTATGCACGTATCTATGCACGTATCTATGCACGTATCTATGCACGCATCTATGCACGTATCTATGCACGTATCTATGCACGTATCTATGCACGTATCTATGCACGTATCTATGCACGTATCTATGCACGTATCTATGCACGTATCTATGCACGTATCTATGCACGTATCTATGCACGTATCTATGCACGCATCTATGCACGTATCTATGCACGTATCTATGCACGTATCTATGCACGTCTTTGCCCATGGCGTTGCTGGCACTCACCTCATATTTGACTCCTCTCTGTTTCTCTCTCCCCCTCCTCTCCCTTCCCCATGCGGCCACAGCCAGAGATGCCCACCATATTCCCCAACACCCCCTGCAACTCCTCAGGTATTCACACACACACCTTCCACGCCCATGCCATCCCATGCCATCAACTCCAGTGACTCGCCACCAGCCTCTATCCCCACCTTGTATCATGCATTGATTCGCCCTTACTCGCTCGCACTGCATTGCATTGCACCCACCAGCACCCCTCGTGCCTCGTGCCTGTGCCTGGGTCTCATATCATACCAATGACCATCACGTGGGTGCCATTACATTTGAGGCGCCTCACAACGCCGGCAGCAGGCAATCAAGTGTGGATGTGTGCCGGATGCGGGTGCCACACCAGAGCTTCCCACTTCCCAGTGCTTGCATGTGTGAGAAAGCGTGAAGCGTGAATAGAAACCGATATAGTTGTGTTCGCAAAGATGCAAGTTCACGTACTTCTCAGAGCAAACAGGGGAGGTGGGGTTATTGGCCAAGATTATTGGCCCCCCACCCATAAGTTGGGTTGGAAAATTATGGGGGTTCCAAATGAAATGGTCAAAGTTGAGGCAGGATTGATTGTTGGAGGCCCAAAAAATCCCCAATCCAAATCTAGGGGCCAAATGAATGGGCCAAGGTTGAGGTCCTAACCTGCAACTAGGGTACACCCTAGTTATGCACCCAAACTCGTTTTGGGTGCCCAACTTTACCCAAGCTATATAGGATACATGCAGGATGCAAGAGGAATGGTATGTAAACAGCATTCCCCTCACAGGCCTCTCCTCCCCTCCCCTGTGTCTCATGATCCACCTCCTGCATCCCACTCGCCCCTTTTCTTCCCCACGCACCAGCCTCCAACTCCTCGGCCCACACTTCTCGCTTCCGCCGCCGCAAGGTGCTGCTCCCCTTTCGCCTCCATGGTGCTGTGTGCTTTTGAGATTTCTCAAGAAGCACCCTTTCTCCTCCATGCTTCTCCACTTGCCGTCGCCGTTCTTGCTCCGTTTTCCTGCTTCTCCTTCGCGCGCTCTCCCTTCGCAACGCAACTCCTCCCGCAATTGGCACCTGTGCTGCATTCCATGCATTGTCATGCCCTCCCCCCTTGCACCCTACCGTAACCTCTCACCTCTCTCCCTCTCGCTATCTCAGTCTCACTCTCTCTTCCCCACTATCCACCATCCCACCCCACCAGGCCCAGACAGTGCATCGCTTGCACCGCACACGCACATATGGCTACTGGCCCTCTTCGGCAGCCCACTCTAGCCGCACCCATTCAACCGCCGCCTCTTCTCGTTCCCTAGGGTCGCCCGAACATGCCACTTCCTCTGCCTCTGCCACTGCCTCTGCCACTGCCTCTGCAGCTTCCTCTGCCAGTCCTCTCCCTGGAACATCACAGCAAGAGCAGAGAGCATCAGAAAGGCCAGCAACAGCAGCGACAGCATCGCTGGCAGCAGCATCAGCTGCAGCAGAAGCAGCAGCAGCAAGCCTTGCGCCCAGCACTCCCTGGCTTCTTCTAGGCGCCACGGACCGCCAGCGAATCACAGCACTCCAGGTGGCAGTATCACGAGCGCTCTTCACCATGGCCAAAGACAAGTGCCTGGCAGGGCGGGCGCCAGGGAGTGTGGCTAAGCACCTGGAGGGAGGCGCAGGCAGCGTGCGAGCAGGCATAGTGGCCTCCCTCTGCACGGCACTTGGAGGGCCTGTTGCAAGCATGGAGGAATGCCGGTTGAGGGACGAGACGGGGCAGCCGATGTCAACGGGAGCGGAGATGTATTCATACCTGCAGCGCACGCATGTGAGCGGAGGGCGGGTGATTTCTGCGCAGCACATGCGGCGGTTTGTGCAGACGGTGGTGGCGGCGCTGCGGTCCGTGACGGGGTTGGATGAGGCGTCGTGTGCGCGCATCACCACGCTGCTGCATGGGTTTGACGATGCCATTGTCACGTCTGATGCAGTCGGGTGCTCGCAAGGTGAGGCATGCTGTGTGCTGTGCTGGTGGTGTGGTGGCGATTCTTGTTCGGTCATGCTGATTCTTTAGCCGACTCAAAAAGGCGTCGTGTGCGCGCGTCACCGTGCTGCTGCACGGGTTTGACGAAAACCATTGTCACGTCCGATGCGGTCGGGTGCTCGTAAGGTGAGGCACGCTGTGCTGTGCTGCTGGTGTGGTGGCGGTGGTGGGTTGCGTGTCTGCATGTGCAGTTTACATGTCGTATGTGCATGCGAGCGTTCGTATGTGTGTGCGTGTGCATGTGCATTTCCGTGTGCATGTGCATGTGCATGTACATGTGCATGTGCGTGTGCATGTGCATGTGCATGTGCATGTGCATGTGCGTGTGCATGTGCATGTGCATGTGCATGTGCATGTGCGTGTGCATGAGTGCGGCGCACCTTGCTGCCTGGCAACACACTACGATTGAGCATCCCTCCCACTCCCCCATGCATGCGCGTCTTGGTGCAGGTGGGGCGTGGCTGCAGTGGCGAGCAGGTGTGAAGCACAACACGACCATCCATGTGGGCGACAAGGTCACCTGGGTGTGGGATGACGACCTTCCACACTCCCTGCGAGGTACTATCTCGTGCACTTGGCCTTTATCAATACTCGCCCTTATTGCTTCTCGCCCTTATCGTTGCTCGCCCTTATCGCCACTCGCCCTTATCGCTACCTACTTACTTGGCCTTATCACTAATCGCCCTTGTCACTACTCTCGCCCTAATTGCTACTAGCCCTTATTGCTACTCGCCCTTATCGCTACTCGCCCTTATCGCTACTCGCCTTTGTCATTCCTTGCGCTTATTTCTCTCCATCTCATTCCATTGCCTATCTCGTTAGCTATAGCCTAACCGTACTCTCTGAGTTTCCCCTTGGTAGAGCAATTCTTTCATGCCATGCTGTTGCAGCTGTGTAGCCTTGTTGTGTTGACTAGTCAGCACCACTGCCTCTCACCCCACTGCTACCGATGTTGTACCCACCACCACCACCACCGCCACCGCCACCACCACCACCACCACCACCACCACCACCACCACCACCACCACCACCACCACCACCACCACCACCACCACCACCACCACCACCACCACCACCACCACCACCACCACCACCACCACCACCACCACCACCACCACCACCACCACCACCACCACCACCACCACCACCACCACCACCACCACCACCACCACCACCACCACCACCACCACCACCACCACCACCACCACCACCACCACCACCACCACCACCACCACCACCACCACCACCACCACCACCACCACCACCACCACCACCACCACCACCACCACCACCACCACCACCACCACCACCACCACCACCACCACCACCACCACCACCACCACCACCACCACCACCACCACCACCACCACCACCACCACCACCACCACCACCACCACCACCACCACCACCACCACCACCACCACCACCACCACCACCACCACCACCACCACCACCACCACCACCACCACCACCACCACCACCACCACCACCACCACCACCACCACCACCACCACCACCACCGCCACCGCCACCGCCACCGCCGCTGCCAGCAGCACGAGCAGCGCCAGCGCCAGCGACACGGAAACGCAACTCGAGCAGAGTGTTGAGTTCATCGCCCGTGCTGTGCCCTGCACACACCTTCCCTTGCTCTTCCATGCCAATGCAAACACCACCCCCCCACCCCCCCCCCCCCCCCCCTTCTCCGCCCCTCCCAACCCCCCTTCTTCCCACTCCTCCAGTGACGGGGATGGGTGAGGCAGACGATCCGCTGTTCCTGGGGTTTGGAGGGCACCGCCTGGCCGTGTCACGGCAGCTCGCATGCACCCACCTTCCCTTGCTGTGCCCCTGCAAACTCTCCTTCCCCCCCTCCTCACCCCCCTTCTTCCCACTCCTCCAGTGGCGGGGATGGGCGAGGCAGACGATCCGCTGTTCCTGGGGTTTGGAGGGCACCGCCTGGCCGTGTCACGGCAGCTCGCATGCACCCCCATGAACGTGGGCTCGGGGGACGTTGCTGACGACCCCCTGCCGTGTGTCCTGGGTGAGTGCCGGGGTGTCGTGCGATGCGGTGTGGTGCGGTGCTGTGCGGTGTAGTGTGGTGTGTCATTCTTTTCTTGTAGACCCTACACGTACCACGATACCATGCGTGCTGCGCTTACAATTTGATGCCATCCCTTCCCGTCCTGGCCTGCTCTCCCTGCTAGGCCTGTTTTCACCCACACTACTCCTCTGCCTGCAGCCCCATCACCCACCCTCACGTCCCACTTCCCACCACTGCCTCTCGTCCGCGTGCTCCCACTGCCCCCACTGCCCGCCCTACCACCGGCAGGCATGGAGGGCGAGCCTGCAGGCTCATTCTCCTACAGCATGCTCTTCAACCTCCCTGCCACCGTCTACTATGATGACGGCGCCCTGCCAGGCGGAGCACAGCACATCACCCTCTCTTCTCCCTCCACCTCCGCCGCCTCCTCTGCCAGTGTTCTTTCTAACGGTGCTCCCTTCGACAGGAGACGATGCTGCTGGTGAGAGCTTCTCGGAATTCTCGAAAAGCCATGCTGCTGTGCTGGTGGGAATTTCTGGAAAATTCAGCGTCACAGTCGCACACACACTCTGTAACGGTCCTTGTCATTGAATAAAAGAGATACACACACACACCCTCTCTTGAACAGTCCTTGCCATTGTATAGTGAACGGTGCAGCAGATAGAGAAGAACGAACAGGTGATGCAGTATAAACCACGCGCTGGAGACTAACGGGCATGTGCAAAGGACCTACAAACCCGTGCAAGGGACCTACAAAGCCACCTCTAAGCGCCAGGGCGTGTCCACAATGGGGTTGCCGCCTGTAGCCTGTAGGTGTTGGGTTGGTTCCTGAGGGGTGCATTGATTGACCTGACCCTCGGTGTGCCGTTCTCCCCTTTCCACGCGCTCGTCTTCCCTCCCCAATTCATGCTTCACACGATTCCTGTCTGTGCATGCGTGCAATGCAGGTCAAGTCAATGCCAGTGACAGCACCACCACTTCTAGTACCGCGCTCTTCCCCACCTCCGACCCCACTCCTACCTTCAACCCCACTTCAAACCCAAACCCCAAACCAACTCCGCCATCCACCACTACACCTTCCTCCTCCTCCGCGTCGCTGGTCTATCTCTGTGCACCGGGGTGCGGGCTGCAGCGGTTGGCGAACGGGGTGTGCGATGCGCCGTGCAACACGCGTGCATGTGCCTTTGATGGAGGGGACTGCGCGTGTGTGGACCCGCTCTTTGGCCCCGGCATCTGCGCCTGCCCGCCCGCCCACACTCGCCGAGACGACGGCTGTGAGCCTCTCAGCCTCTCAGCCCCTCAGCCCCTCAACCTGCTCTCTCTCACAGCATCAAGTCACCATTTCCTTCCTTCCCTTCAACCTTAGATGCAGCATTTCCTGTTTCATTTCCCCCTCCCCAACCCCCCTTTTCCCTCCTTTTTCCCTGTCAATTCCGCCTGTCTTGTTCCTTGTGCTCCGTACCGTATCCGGTCCTACTCATCACTTCTTTCTCATCTTGGTATCTTCTTCACCTGCTGATGTGGCTTCCCGTCCCTCATCTCTCTCCCTTCTCTCTCTCACCCTCACTCTCTCTCCTCTCTCTCGCTCTCGCCCCTCGCCCGTCCCATCCCGCCCTGCCAGCATGCTGTTGATCCACAGCGGTGGGGACCAACCTCAACTTCCCCTTCTCTCTGCAGCGCTACGGCCCCAACTACACCGAAACCAACCACGCCTTTGCTGCTGAGCGAGACACCGCTGCCAACCGCTTTGTATCGCATCACAACCGGTATGCTCCAGGTTTCTCGCTCATGCATGGGATTGGGATCTTGTGTGTGATAATCAACCCTCTGAGTCAGCAACTCTACTGCTTATAATCTTGTTTACCTAACTTTCTCCAACCCAGCACACATGAAAATTGCTGGCTGTTTTTTTCTTGCTTTTGTTTACCCATACTTCTCTCTCTTTTGATTTAACACCCTGCCAACCACTCTACCTTCTTGTTTTGTAAGAACCCCCTTCCCTCCCTTTCCCGCTTTTCCCATCACTCTTTCCCTCCCTTCGCCCATTTCCCCCTTCCCGCCCTTCCCCTTCCCCTGTTCGCCCCCTTGTTTCCCGTCTCCCACCCACCCGTCACCCTGTGTGTGCGGGGCAGGCTGTTGATAGGCATGGTACTGCAGCAGGACAGGTGGGGAACGGAGGTCTGCACCGGACAAGGGTGAGTCGCAACCGTCATTTCATGGTCGCTGTTCTTTCCGTCCATCCTGCGCTCCTTTTCTCGTGGGCTGTTGTCGGTTGCTCGTGACTGTGCTGTTTTGTCGGTTGCTCGTAGCTGTGCGTTGTCGGTTGCCCGTGCCTGTGCTGCTTGTGATAATGGTCCGGCTTACCGGGAGGGGAGCCGGCTGATCGTTGTGTCACACGAGTAATGCGGCGCTGTCAATGCCCGTAGCTTTGCACTGCTCTCACTCAGCATCGTCTTGAAAGATGACCACCGCGTGCCGCCGTGTGCCGTGTGCCATGTGCCGTCGCGTGTGCCGTGTACCCATGTGCCGTGTGCCATGTGCCATGTGCCATGTGCCGTGTGCCATGTGCCATGTGCCATGTGCCATGTGCCGTCGCGTGTGCCGTGTGCCATGTGCCATGTGCCGTCGCGTGTGCCGTGTGCCATGTGCCATGTGCCGTCGCGTGTGCCGTGTGCCATGTGCCATGTGCCGTCGCGTATGCCATGTGCCGTGTGCCATGTGCCATGTGCCATGTGCCGTCGCGTGTGCCATGTGCCGTGTGCCATGTGCCGTCGCGTGTGCCGTGTGCCATGTGCCATGTGCCGTCGCGTGTGCCATGTGCCGTGTGCCATGTGCCGTCGCGTGTGCCATGTGCCATGTGCCGTGTGCCGTGTGCCATGTGTCACCACATAAGCCATTACACTCCCTCCCGCCCTCTCCACAGCAACACCCACAAACCTCTCCACACCTCCCTCCCACTCCCCCTTCACTCCATCCCCCCTCCCTCCCCGCGCACCACCAGGGTGCTGCACCTGGGAGGCTGGTGCAGCAATGGCCCATCCAGTGACCCCTTTGGTGTGAACCCGCACTTCCTGCCCACCTCGCCCATCTACGACAGCGCTGCCAGTGCTTTTGAGGCCCCTCAAAACTCCCCCTCACCCCATCCCCTCCCCCCCCCCCGCACCACCAGGGTGCTGCACCTGGGAGGCTGGTGCAGCAATGGCCCGTCCAGTGAACCCTTTGGTGTGAACCCGCACTTCCTGCCCACCTCGCCCATCTACGACAGCGCTGCCAGCGCCAATATGACCCAGCTCGACAACAGCACGTTTGGATCCAAGCTGCTCTTCAACCCGCAGGGCCTCCCGTACGGCTTCATCTACCCTGTTGTGAGTGACTTTTGAGACGTCTCAAAAGAGCGACAACATGAGCCAGCTGGACAGCTGTACATTTGGATCCAAGCTGCTCTTCAACCCGCAGGGCCTCCCATACGGCTTCATCTACCCTGTTGTGAGTGAGACACACACACGCCATGAGCTGCGTCGTTCTTTTGAGACGTCTCCAGAGTGCGACAGACACAGTCATGAGCTGCATCGTTCTCGGGTTCTTTCAGAATCTGCCTACTGCCTCGTTCGTCTATCCTGTTGTGAGTGAGAGCGTCACATCACGAGCTGGATCGCTGTCAGGTAGACTCAACTCAAGAGTCGCCTGCGCGTTCGTCTTCATCTTCATCTTCATCTTCGTCTTCGTCTTCGTCTTCGTCTTCGTCTTCGTCTTGATCTTAATCTTCATCTTGACCTTCGCTCCGGTGACAACGAGTAACTCTCCCTACTGCTTGAGAGATAGGTGGTGATTTCTTAGTAAAACCTTAGCGTGCCCCTCGGCTCACATGCCCTTCGGCTGACATGGCCCTGCATGTCCTCCACGTACCATTTCTCCTAAAGGCTCTTGAAGGCAATGTTTAGATGAATGGCCCTGTGCCATTGTGCCCTTGAGCTCACTTACACTCTTCCATGGTCACGGCACACCCGAAAACACTTCACTCTCTCAACAAGGCCAAAACATTGCCTCACCCTCCCTCTTCCTCCCCTCTTCTTTTGCCCCACCCCCTCGTCCCCACCGCCTTCCTCCCCTCCACTACCCCCCTTTCTCCTTCCCTCTGCACCCCCGGCCGGCCCTGTGCCTGCCTGGCAGGACGAGCTGCCGCGCTTCCCACTGCTGTTTGACATTGGACAACGACACGTCTTTTTCGGCGCCTCAGAACAGGCGCCTGGCGGCGGGGGCCTCAATAAACTCTTCCCTCCACCCCCTTGTCCCTGCCTCACTCGTCTCAGGACGAGCTGCCGCGCTCCCTACTGCTGTTTGACATCAACCTCGACAGCGACGCGGCCACGCGGGGTCTTTTGAGCCAACTCAATAATGCACGCTCGTCCCTCTGTGTGTGTGTGTGTGTGGCAGGACGAGCTGCAGCACTTCCCCCTGGTGTTTGACATCAACCTGGACAACGACGCGGCCACGCGGCGCCTGCACTACCTCATGGAGGGCGGGTACATTGACAACAGCACTCGCAGCGTCGACGTCACCTTCATCACCTTCAACGGTACTAAACCGCTGTTTCTGCAGCAGCAGCAGCAGCAGCAGCAGCAGCAACGGTTATGCTTTCTCTGGCGTTCTGCTTGTGTGCACTGCACGGCAACCCACTCCTCGTGTGGCGCATGCTCTGCTCCTATCGCCCCTCTCCTGTCCGCCATCCCATAGCAATGTACCATCCTCCCATGACTCATGCTCCTCCTCCCACCGCACTCCCCTCTCCCCCACAACCCACCACCCTCTCCTCACCAGGCGAGGCGCGCACGTTCGTGCTGACCACAGTAACTTGCACCGTGAACACGGGCGGGCAGATCGGCGTGACGATAAAGTCGCAGCCAGCGGCGATGCACATGTGGCGGCGGTGCATCCACACCAAACACAGCGCGACTGGTGCTGGAGGTGTTATATGTGCTGGGGCTGCTGTGGAACGTGTATGGCGAGGCACGCGAGATGATGGACCATGTGCACATGGAGGGCTCTGTGCTGGGGTACTTTGGCCTCGTGTGGAACTGGGTCGATCTCTTCTCACTCGCGCTGCAGTTCACTGCTATTGTCATCTGGTGAGCGTCTTCTCGGTGGGTGGGTGGGTGGGTGGGTGGGTGGGTGGGTGGGTGGGGCAGTTGTTAAGGGTTCTTGTGAGATGATGGATTGCCATCTGGTGAGCGCCTCATGGGTGTGTGGGTGGCTCATGGGTGTGTGGGTGGCTCATGGGTGTGTGGGTGGCTCATGGGTGTGTGGGTGGCTCATGGGTGTGTGGGTGGCTCATGGGTGTGTGGGTGGCTCATGGGTGTGTGGGTGGCTCATGGGTGTGTGGGTGCCTCATGGGTGTGTGTGTGCCTCATGGGTGTGTGGGTGCCTCATGGGTGTGTGGGTGGCTCATGGGTGTGTGGGTGGCTCATGGGTGGGTTTATTTGTCGCATCTGGTGTGCGGCTTTTGGGTTCAAGCAGCATCTTTCAAAGGCTTTCCGTCACCTTTCGCATCGCCCACTTCCTTGGCCCACTGCTGCTGCTCATACTTCCTCGTTTCACACTTTGCAGCATCCGCTTTCCTGTTGGTCCTTGCTCACACCAAAACTCATCCCCCACCCTCTCCCCTCCCCAGGCTTTCCCCTTCTCGCCCGCTTCCTCTTTCAACTTCCGCCCGCCCTCCTGCCCCCTCTCCTCCTCCCCCTTATTGTGCACCGTCCTCCTTTCCGCTCCCGCCATGGGTGCCTGCGTGGGTGCGTGCAGGATGGTGCTGTGGCGGGCAGTAGATGCATTCGCCATGCAGCCACTCTACAACATCTACCACTCGCTGCTTCAGATGCCGCCGCGCTACTCTTGATTCAACTTAGACTTTCCTTCCTCCTCTCCATCATCCCCATCACGGCGTGTATGTATGCATGATTCAGGTTGGTGCTGTGGAGGGCAGTGGAGTCATTTGACATGCAGCCGCGCTACAACATCTACTACTCGCTGCTGGAGATGCCGCGCTACTGGGCCGTGCCCAACCCGCCGATGGGGTTCCTGCTGGCGGGACAGGCCTTCCTGGACCTGCGCTACATCATCAACATGCGCGCCGTGTACTTCGCCCTGCAAGGCATCAAGTGAGTGACGCCTGGGAGGCGTGGCAGGCGTGGCAGGCGTGGGTATGCTGTGCTGCCATGGGCATGCAGTGTTGGCATGGACCTGCGGTACATCATAAACATGCGCGCTGTGTACTTCGCCCTGCAAGGCATCAAGTGAGTGAAGCTTGAGCTTGAGCATTCTGTGCTGCCACAGGAATGCTGTGCGTTCGAGGCGCCTCAAAGATCGCCCACGGGGTTCCTTCCTGCTGGCGGGACAGGTCTATTTTTGAGGCGCCTAAAAAAAAGGGGCAGGCCTTCCTAGACCTGCGGTACATCATCAACCTGCGCGCCGTGTACTTTGCCCTGCAAGGCATTAATTGAGAAGCATGGGGCATGCTCTGTTGCTGTGGGCCTGCTGTGTGCTGGCGGGGCAGGCCCCTTCCTAGAATCTAGACCTGCGGTACATCATCAACCTGCGCGCCGTGTACTTTGCCCTGCAGGGCATCAAGTGAGTGAGGCCGGGGGGCTGTGGGAATGCTGTGGGCTGGCGCTCGTGTGAATGCACTGGGGCATACATGGTAGACATACATGATACACATGCGTGCGCGCGTGCACACACACACACACACACACACACACACACACACACACACACACACTCACACACACACACACACACACACACACACACACACACACACACACACACACACACACACACACACACACACACACACACACACACACACACACACACACACACACACACACACACACACACAGGCATGACAACAACACCATCCCACCTCTGACTTCCTCTCATGCACACAAACACTCATACTTGCTTCTGCCATTCTTACCTGTCGCCCACCAGCCTGTTCCTGATGATGATGCGTCTGTTCAAGCTCATGGACTTCCAGCCACACCTGTGGAGTTTTGGGCACCTCAAAACGCACCTCCCACCTGCCCTCCCCCTTGCCCCTCTCCCCCAGCCTGTTCCTGATGATGGTGCGTCTGCTCAAGTTGATGGTCTTCCACCCGTACCTGGGGAGCGTTGAGGTTCCTCGAAACGAAAACGCACCTCCTCCTGCCGTCCTTACTTACCCCACGCATCCCCTGCCCTCTCCCAGCCTGTTCCTGATGATGGTGCGTCTGCTCAAGTTCATGGACTTCCAGCCATACCTGGGCGTCATCACGCGCTCGCTCGCCCTCGCCACGCCCTCGCTGCTGCACTTCTTCCTGCTCTCCTTCGCTGTCTTCTTCTGCTTCAGCATGTATGCCTACCTCGTCTTCGGAGGCGCTCTCGAACAGGTGTGTGGGTGTGATGAGGAGCAGGTGGGTGTGATGCGAAGCAGGTGGGTGTGATGGGGAGCAGGTGGGTGTGATGCGAAGCAGGTGGGTGTGATGGGGAGCAGGTGGGTGTGATGCGAAGCAGGTGTGTCTGCTCGTCCACGCTCTCATGCCTGCTAATTCTGCATTTTCTCCACTCGTTTCTCTCCCACATTCACTCACATCATGCTTTCTCCTCACACCCCCACACCACCCCCTTCCCCCCCCCAAAACCTCCCTTTTCTCCCCCACCAAATCCTCCTCCTCCCCCCCCCCCCCCCCCCCCCCCCCCCCCCCCCCCCTCCTCGCCAGTTCTCCACGATCCTCACCTCCATGTTCTCCTGCTTCCTGCTGCTCCTCAACGACAACTCCTCCGCCTACTTCTTCCAGCGCCTCGAGTCCTGGGACCTCATCGCAGCGATGCTATTCTTCCTCATGTTCATCGTGCTCATGGTCTTCATCCTCCTCAACTTCCTCATCGCCATAATTGTTGATGCGTTCATGAGCGTCAAGGACAGCAATGTGGTCGCCACGTCTATTACGTCGGATGTTGCGCATATTGTCAAGTACAAGTGGAACTGCTGGTGCGGGCGTTACATGCCGTACTCGCGCCTGCTGCGGCACCTTGTGAACCTCGGCGCCAAGGACACGCGCGTGGATGACGTGAGTGCACGTGTGTGTGTGTGTGTGTGTGTGTGTGTGTGTGTGTGCGTGTGTTTGAGTCGACCCAAACCACGCACGCCGTTTGACACAAATGAAAGCGCACCTGCTGCAGCACCTTGTGAATCTGGGCGCCAAGGACACGCGCGTGGATGACGTGAGAGAGCAGTCACCACCCACCTGCACCGCACGTGCTTTGTGAATTAGTGCGCGCTCTTTCACCATGCTGGCATTGCCATGGCGAGTGCTTGACGCTGTACACTGTACACATGTATGCAATTATAATATACACATGTTTACGTGTATATGCATATTCTCGTATCCAGGCATCAGATTGCTGGCTCGCACAGTGGCTGTGGTGATGGTGGCGAGAGTGTGCCAATCTGCTTGCACTCGCATCGCCGCATCCCTCCCGGTATCATTGCGAGCGCCTCTTTCGGCCTTCTTCTTCTACTCAACAAATGAACAACCACCTGTCTCCGAACGTGTCCTTTCAGGCGGACCGTCGGATGCGCCGCTACAAGTCGATCCAACGGCGGGTGGGGTCTGTGTTCTCCAGCCGGGTTGGCAGCGGCCACACCGCCTCCTCGTCGCACTTCACGCGTGCAGCCGACTCGCACCCCGCCTTCCCCGCGGCGGCCGTGCCTCGGGTGCGGAAGCAGCACGTGCTGACTGTGAAGGACAAGCGCATTGATGAAATCTCCCTCTCCATTATCTTGCAGCGACGCCTCGACCGCGAGGTGCGTGGCGTGCGGTGCGGTGCGGTGCTGTGCTGTGCGGTGATGTGCTGTGCTGTGCTGTGCTGTGCGGTGATGTGCTGTGCTGTGCTGTGCTGTGCTGTGCTGTGCGGTGCGGTGCGGTGCGGTGCGGTGCTGTGCTGTGCTGTGCTGTGCGGTGCGGTGCGGTGCTGTGCTGTGCTGTGCAGTGCTGTGCTGTGCTTTGCTGTGCTGTGCTGTGCTGTGCGGTGCGGTGCGGTGCGGTGCGGTGCTGTGCTGCGCTGCGCTGCGCTGTGCTGTGCTGTGCTGTGCTGTGCTGTGTGGTGCGGTGCACTGCGGAGTTGTGCGCTGCACACGGGGTTATTGGCATGTCTTCTGCACACAGGGCACATGGCAACAGGGCATGGGGCATATGGCATGTGCTGTGACACGCCTTGTGCTGACGTGTATCACGTGGGAATGGGCATCGTCACATCTATGTTGGTGTTGCTTTTACATCTATGACGATTCTCACTTTCAGCTCAGCACTTGCATAGCACCCTTCTCTCCTTTCAGACTTCACCTCGCCATCTCATTCTCTCTGCCGAATCCCCACCTCCGCCCCACGCCACCTTCCATCCCTCTCTCCCTTCCTTTCCACTCTCTTCCTTTCTCACCTCCTCCCTCCTGCTCTCTCCCGTCCCCTCTCTTCTCTCTCCTGCTCTCTCCTCGCCGCGCACATCCCTCCCTCACTCTCCCCGTCTCGCCCCTCTCTCCTCCTGCACCCCCCACAGCGGGCGCGCGGGCACCAGTCAGCATCCATGAAGCCATTGGACCCCGTGCACTCTGCAGTCGTGTTCTCATCCGTGGGCTCGGGCACGGGAGCGCATGACACGGGAATGGAGGAGCTGTCGCAGGCGCTGGTGCTGCAGTGCGGCGAGGTGGTGAAGCAGTCGGCGCTGCCAGTCAAGAAGCCCGTGCTGAAGCTCAGCCTGGCGCACATCCAGGTGAGTGAGACACCTGTGACACTTGTCGTGCAGATTCTTTAAGCGCCTAAGTAAGAAGCCCGGTAAGAGATCTGCTTGTTGCCAGTCAAGAAACCCGTGGTGAAGCTCAGCCTGGCGCACATCCAGGTTAGTGAAGCACCGGTGCCGCTGTTCGTGAGGAGGAGTAGAAGAGTTGTCAGACGCCTCAAAGGTCGGCTTGCTGCCAGTCAAGAGACCCGTGGTGAAGCTCAGCCTGGCGCACATGCAGGTGAGTGAGTGCGACACCCATGGCGCTGGTGGTGCAGATTCTCTAGGCGCTAAGTAAGAGATTGGCTTGTTGCCAGTCGAGAAGCTAGCTGCCAGTCAAGTTGCCAGTGCAGAAGCTAGCTCAGTCGGGTGCGTACCAAGGTGAGAAAGGCGTTGCGCTGCGCTGGTGGTGAGGCAGAGTAGCAGTGCTTTTGAGGCGCCTTTTGAATCAATTTAAGTGGAGAGGGAATTGGATGCATTTCAAGTCGAACCGAACCAAGCCAGATTCTGCACCTTGGCATTGGTTCCAATTGTTCCTAACTGCTGGGAGAACACAAACCCGCCGCCCTGCGTTCGTGAGTTGCAAGCACAGAACTTCCATTTTCAACCCTTTCCCATTCATCTCCTCCTGTCCCCACACATCCGCTCCTGTCTGTGCGCATGCCCGTGTGGCGAGAGAGTGCAGGAGGAGGTGGTGCGGAGCCAGCAGGCGGTGGAGGAGGTGAGGGGTATGGTGCTGGAGCTTCAGAGCGAGGTGCTTTTCGAGTCGACTCAGAACTATCTCACGCATCCCCCCTGTCCCTGTGCAGGAGGAGGTGGTGCGAAGCCAGCAGGCGGTGGAGGAGGTGAGGGGCATGGTGGTGGAGCTACAGAGCGAGGTGCGCGGCATGATGGCCAGCGTGCACAGCGACATGCGCTCCATCATGGCCCTCCTTGTCTCCCGCAACTCTGCCACCGCCGCCGCCGCCGGTGCTGCCGCTGCCGACACCGCTGCTGGTCCTCCCCTTCCTGGTGCCGCTGCTGCTGTTGCCGCTGCTGCTGGTGCCGCCGCTGCTGGTGCCGCCGCTGCTGCTGATCCTGCGCCTGGTGAGGCTGCTGCTGGTGGTGTCTCAGCGTCGATGGTACGGTCTTCCATGCGGGCGTCACCCCCCCAGGCATCCCCCACACACTCCACACTGAGGCAGCAGTCGCCTGAGCACGGGCTGTGCCAGAAAAGGCTGAGCGCAGAGAGCAGGGATGAAGGGGACGATGGCACGGCAGGAGATGAGGGGGCGGTGGGGGATTTGCAGCAGGCAGTAGGTAGTTCGGGTGGTGCAAGGATAGGTAGGAGCTTGTCTGGCAAGCGGGGGTCGGGTAGACGGGTCTCGTTCCGCGATGGCACAATAGATGACGATGAGGGTGCTTTGGTTAGAAAAGAAACACAGCAACAGTCGTTAATAGAAAAGGCTAAATATTACTAGAGTTCCCCCAACATGATTCACTCAATTCTTCTTTGCTCATGCGTCTTTAGTCCTGAGTCCTGCCCTGATCAGGGTGTTTGGGAGGTGGCTTCTTTCAATCTGTAAGGCACCACATGTTTCACCTCATGCGGAAATGAGTTCATCAGTTTAGTTCAGTCCAGACTAGTTCTAGAAGTGTACCAGTATGGGGGCGATACAACATGGCCCTAATCATCCCATCATCGATTCTCAACAAAATGCACATTGCTGCTTCAAAAAACCGAAATGCCAAGATGGATAATGCTAATTTTCAGTCAACAAAACAACAAAAGGCCTAGTGTAATTCGATTATAATTATTCCCTCCTGCGTTGCTCACACAAGCTAGCGAACATATAGTCAGTGGCATGGCAAGCAGTCAATGATCATCTACTGTGCGCTACAGTCATGTCCTGGCCTTCCTCTAACCTGGGGATGATTCCTGAAATCCTGATGCCCTCATAAATTAAGCCACCCTGCCATCCTGGTACACTCAATCAACAAAACCACATCCTGTCCACCCAAGAGGTACTACAAGAGAGAGCAGCAGAGTCACCAGCAGCAGCAGAGGCATCAGCAGCAGCAGAGGCATCAGCAGCAGCAGAGGCATCAGCAGCAGCAGAGGCATCAGCAGCAGCAGAGGCACCAGCAGCAGCAGAGGCACCAGCAGCAGCAGCACAGGGGTGCATTGCCGCATAGCACCCTCACAAGGCATCCCCCCATGCGCACAACCACCGCAGCAGCCTACGCCGCTACCCTTCACGCATCTCTCCTTGCGGTTCTTTCCCTAATCCCAACCATCCACCCACCCACCACCACCCCTCCCGCCATTACCTCCATCCAGCCACCTCCCAATCCAGCCCAAACAGCCACTCCCAGCCATCTAATCCGCGTGGCGCTCCTGCTTGAAGTCCTGCGCCATGTCGCGCGGTAGTGCAGCGACAGCAACGGCACTCTTGAGGCGCCTCAAAAGCCATTCCGAAGCATCTAATCCGCGTGGCGCTTCTGCTTGAAGTCCTGGGCAATGTCGCGGTAGTGCAGCGACGCCTGCTGCAGCATCTTCACGGGCGCCTTGGGCAGCTCTATCATCTTCCCCGCCACCGCCACGGGCAGGCTCAGCGACGCAATCACAATGCAGGAGATGAACTGGAAGGGAGTGAGCGGCACGGTGGAGGCAAACTTGCCGAGCACCTGCACGAGGAGCACCTGGAAGGCGGTGGAGGCGAGGAGGATGCCGAGGAAGATGACGTTCTTCTCCATGCCTCGCAGCACGTTCATGCGCTCCATCTCCCGAGAATTCACCTCATTGAACAGCTGCCCGGGGGAAGCAGAGGCGGGCAGGGGGGGGGATGGAGGGAGGGAGGGAGAGGGTTGAGGAACAAACAACACGTGGAATTGCACGGGGGAAGGGGGGGGGTGCTGGGAGGAGGAGGAGGGGGAGGGGAGGGGTGGGGGAGGGGGATGGAGGGAGGAAGTTGACGAATGATACATGGGAGATGACACAGGGAGGGGATGTGAGAGGGAATGAGGGGTTTGGGGTGGGGAAGGACACTAAGCTGAGCACAGAGCACAGTGAAGAGCCGATTGCTTGATTTTTACATCAAGAACAGGAGCTGCAGGGGCAGTGTAGCAGTTGAGGATACCAAGCCTTCCTTGTCGCGCTGTATGCGCTCCAACACGTTTTCGCCATAAAACCCTTGTCCTCCCCTCTCCCAGCCCCCCCCCCCTCCCCTCTCCCAGCCCCCCCCCCCCTTCTTTCTCTCCCATCCCTCGCTCCCTCCTCCCCATGTCAACACCCCCTTTTTCCACCCTTCCCATCCCCCGGTCAGGCCCCATCCCCCGGTCAGCACCCCCCTCCTGCAGAGCACCTGGCAGAAGACAAAGGTGTTGAAGACAATGGTGTCGAGGCGCTGCGGGGCGTCGGGCGCGTTGGCAAACCCGAAGATCCACTTGCCCCACATCATGATGACGCCCAGCACGAGCAGCTGGAACACCGCCTGGCACGCTATGTTGCGCCACATGATGGCGCTGATGAAGGGCGCGCGCCGCCCCACCGGGCCCACCTTCATGAGCTCCGCATCGGGCGGCTCCGTGGCGAGGGCCAGCGCACCGAGTGTGTCCATGATCAGGTTCACCCACAGCAGCTGCACTGCTGTCAGTGGGGCAGAGCCTGGTGGGGGCGAGGGGTGTTGGGTGGGGTGTGGGGAGGAGGGGGGGAAAGAGGGGGAGTGCGCCGAGTGTGTCCATGATCAGGTTCACCCACAGCAGCTGCACTGCTGTCAGTGGGGCAGAGCCTGGTGGGGGCGAGGGGTGTTGGGTGGGGTGTGGGGAGGAGGGGGGGAAAGAGGGGGAGTGCGCCGAGTGTGTCCATGATCAGGTTCACCCACAGCAGCTGCACTGCTGTCAGTGGGGCAGAGCCTGGTGGGGGCGAGGGGTGTTGGGTGGGGTGTGGGGAGGAGGGGGGTAAAGAGGGGGAGTGGTGTGTCCATGATCAGATTCACCCACAGCAGCTGCACTGCTGTCAGTGGGGCAGAGCCTGGTGGGGGCGAGGGGTGTTGGATGGGGTGTGGGGAGGAGGGGGGGAAAGAGGGGGAGTGCGCCGAGTGTGTCCATGATCAGGTTCACCCACAGCAGCTGCACTGCTGTCAGTGGGGCAGAGCCTGGTGGGGGCGAGGGGTGTTGGGTGGGGTGTGGGGAGGAGGGGGGGAAAGAGGGGGAGTGCGCCGAGTGTGTCCATGATCAGATTCACCCACAGCAGCTGCACTGCTGTCAGTGGCACAAAGCCTGGGTTGAGGAGAGAGGTGTTGTGGAAAAAGGGCGGGAGGGGGGGGGGAAGAGGGCGAAGGGTGTGTTGCAGGTATGGTTTGGGGAAAGGGGGAAGGAGAGGTGGATGGGAGTGGGAGGAATGTTTGAGAGGGGGAAAAGGGGGAGGATGGCGTGGGAGTGACGCATAGGTTGGAGGTTCGCGCCAAGGAAGGAGCAGAGCGGTGGTGAAATATCATGCGTTTACGGCAATGCTCTGCTCTGCGTTGAACAGTAAGAGGATTAAAAGGATTGAGTAGGGGGGGAGGGCAGAGCCAGAAAGGGGCGAGGGAGGGCAGAAGCCAGAAAGGGACGAGGCGTGGAGACGAGACGCAGGGGTAGCAGCAGCAGCAGTAGCAGCAGCAGCGTACCAGTGGTGCAGGCAGAGACGAAGTTGGTGACAAGCGCAACAATGTTGACGGTGAGCTGGAACTGCACAAACTTCTGGATGTTGGCGTACACACTGCGCCCCCACTTGGCCACATTCACCACCGAGGAGAAGTTGTCGTCCATCACTATCACGTCCGCACTCTCCTTCGCCACCTGCGGGTGAGAGAGAGGGGGAAAGGGGGAGAGAGAGGGGGGGCATGAGAGGGCGGGAGAGGGGGGCACGAGATCAAGGGAGCCGGGGGGAACGAAGACGCTAGTTGTCGTCCATCATTATCACGTCTGCGCTCTCCTTCGCCACCTGTGGGGGCGAGAGAGGGGCAATGCGGGAGGGAGAGAGAAAGGGGGCACGGGAGCAAGGGAGGGAAGGAGGGTGGGTGGGTGGGAGGGGGGGAGGGAGGGAGGGAAGGAGTGGCCATGACCGACCCCAATGTCAGCCTCATCGAGTGAGCTTATGAGAATTCTCAAAAGCGACTCAAACTTGAGTCCTATCCCCTCGCTACCGCTCATGCTCACCTCGGTGCCGGCAATGCCCATGACGAGCCCGATGTCAGCCTCCTTGAGAGCGGGTGCGTCGTTGGTGCCGTCCTGTTTTCGAGTCTGCTCAAATAACACAGTACCCTTTCTATCTGCTCACCTCGGTGCCGGCAATGCCCATGGCGAGCCCGATGTCGGCCTCCTTGAGAGCGGGCGCGTCGTTGGTGCCGTCCTGTTTTCGAGTCTGCTCAAATAACACAGTACCCTTTCTATCTGCTCACCTCGGTGCCGGCAATGCCCATGACGAGCCCGATGTCAGCCTCCTTGAGAGCGGGTGCGTCGTTGGTGCCGTCCTGTTTTCGAGTCTGCTCAAATAACACAGTACCCTTTCTATCTGCTCACCTCGGTGCCGGCAATGCCCATGGCGAGCCCGATGTCGGCCTCCTTGAGAGCGGGCGCGTCGTTGGTGCCGTCGCCCGTGACCGCCACCACCTCGCCCATCTCCCTCAGCACGCTCACCAGCGTGTGCTTGTCCGTGGGGGACGACCGTGCCATCACCTGTGTGTATGTGCGCCATGCACATGTGGAAAACACACACACACACACACACACACACAGACACACACAGACACACATACACACACACACACCACATACGCCATGCACGCGGCGCACGCACGGCACAGGAGGAGCAACGAGAGGGAAGGAGTCCGGTTGTGCAAGTGCCATGTGTGGGTTGACAAGCTCATCTGCCACCTCGGCCCACTACTACCATGCTCTTTCCCATTTGGGATGGCCGTGCCAGGAACAGGCGCAGCGGGGGGGGGGGGAGAGAGAGGGGGAAACAATGGGGATGAGGGGTGTGGGTTGGTGCGGACGGTTGGAGATAGTAGGGAGCGAGCAGGAGGGCGGACGGCAGGCAGGCTAGCGGGGCATACCTGGAGGCGGGCATACCTGGAGGCGGGCATACCTGGAGGCGGGTGATTGATACCTGGAGGCGGGGCAGCAGCGCCATCATCTGGTCCTTGGAGAGCTGGCGGAACTTGGGGCCCTCTATGGCCTCGCCCGTCTCCGTGAGAATGCCGCACTCGCGCGCTATGGCTATGGCCGTGTTGAGGTTGTCCCCCGTCACCATGCGCACCTGCACTCACCAATGCACACGTGGGGGACATTGCACAGGTGGGGGAGAGGAGGGAGGAGTGGAGGGTGGGGGAAGGGAGGGGTGGGGGGGAGAGGGGAGAGGGATGGGAAACAGAGGGAAAGGGAGGGTGCAGAGGGGAGGGGCAGGCAGAGAGGGATTGTGTGAGCAGTGTGAGCGGACTGTGGTAGCAGTTGCTGGAGAGAGCTGTGTGGCACCTGTGCTTGTCGGACGCTGGCATGTGCGCCTGGACTGGGGAGACAGAGGTGAGGTGCAAGGGGGGGAACGGGGAGAAGGGGTTAAGGAGAGGGCGCGGG